CCTCGCACGGTAGTAGCTTATTTTCTCATGGGCGGGCCAAATTCTCTTGGCGGGCAAAGCAAAGAAAGGGGAGGTTAACCTTTCCCCGTATGACTAAAAAAATGAAGATTCCGGATTGGGCCATCTGAGCTTTCATTTTCTCAAAGGAAAAGCAGGATACCCACCTCTTTGTTAAGTTTAGTGCTTAGAAAGAGTACAAGAAACAATAAAAAGTCACTTGTTCAGTTCCCCTGTATTATGATCTGTTTTTAATATTTTCTACTCACTAGCCTGTTTATACAATGTGAATTACCTTTGTTATATAGACCACTGATAAATGCGACTTCAGAAGTTTGAAAAGAGCTTAAATCTGATTCCCAGAGTTGATGTTGTTCCTTTTTCATGGGGGGAAAAACATACTGTACATCGAGACATTTGTCGATTTCAATTAAGATGTGCTATAATATGCTTTAGTACATGAGCCAGTCGTCCTGAGTTTTTGCAGTAGCCAAATAGAATTGGTGAATATCAGCTTGGCTACTATTATGAGAAATAATGAAGTGAACACGATTTTCTTTGTTTAGTTTTTTGTGTTTTATTAATGTTTAAAAGTCATAAATGGTAATCCAACACAGTAGCATGGAAGCAGGGACCACAACCGCACACAATCCGGCGAAGCAAAATATAATGTGAAGTTATTTATATATATATATATATATATTCGCCGAGCGGCGCTCTGATTGGCTATTCTCATCTCTAGCTCAGGAGCCAGCCAATGGGGAAGTTGGTTTGTTTGTGTGAAGCAAACGGTGCAAATATAAAATCGAGAATAAGAGATGTTGGAATATAAACTGATGTATGAACATAACCCAAAGATTTAACTCGGCACCAGAAGGTTGTTTATACATTTTCTACTCTGAAGACAGGCGAAGCAAGGATTTGGTGAAGGAAATAGGTATGACTTTTTATAAGGATGCTCTGTTGTAAGTTTACCTGTTAAGGTTGTTGATATTGTATTAGTAGCCTATTGCATTAGTTCACACAATCATTTATGAAGAAGTATTTTTGTTTTAACCCGATTAGATATTGTTTTTAAAAATGTTAGATATGTTTTTTCATTATTCTGCCACATGACAACTATAGCACATTTCCACCATTCTCCAATAACTATTTTATCATGCCAGTGCATGTTTTTGCGTTACGGACTGTAGCTGAACTGAGACGCGTTGATTGATTTCTATATAATGCGGTGTATTAGTTTTATGCCGCAACTTTGTTCAATGTCTACCGCAAGCAGCTGTGTATTACATTCTACTTGCACTAATAGCTTCGACAGTTGTTTATTTCCGACAAATGCTTAATTGTTGTCATGTACGTGGCGTTTTGTTTTATTCTTCTTGTTATACGGGCTTTTACATCTGCCGTCAGAAACCGTGTTTTGCCGTTTCATATCATGAATGGGAAATAGAACTGCTTGTACATCATATATGAGGTATATAGCCTATTACAATATCCGCATTTATACAGCAAGTATTTATTTAGACTAGTGCAGAACAATAGTGTGAAGCGATAACCAGGAAGTGCGTTTATCGCGTGTTATCCAGTGCAGAGAGTGTATACACGGAACAGCTGAGTTCTGTATGCATGAGGAAGGAGGGGAGAGGGGGGTACACACACACAGGCGGAGGCAATGATGATGATGATGCCTGTCCAGTTCAGACCAGTTTTAGGGCTGCTTGTTTTCCGCAGGATTCTGTTATCGTTAACACAAATGAGACACCGCGCGCAAATCAGAAAAGAAAATCCAACCAGTAAAACGACCCATTTCCAATGCTTTTTATGAATCTTAAATGAACATATAAAACAGTTTGTACAAGATTTCTATTTGCATCCAACGAACCGCATCGCTTATGCAAAGCAAACAGAATCGACTCGTATAATTATGACGCAATGTCACTTCCCCCATGGTTAAATAGATTTTGCACAAGATATTAGTAGCACAAAGCATCGACTCGCGCCGCACTGGTTCGAACCGGCTGGATCTTGGTCTCACGTGGAGCTGCTCTCTGAATCTGTTTATCGCGTAGCCAATGAGGGGAGAAGCGAACATTCGAACAGCCAATCGGAGGATAGCAAGGCGAGACTAGAGGCGGGCAAATGGGCGGGGTTTCCATCAACAACATTCTCTTTTGGAACTGTTTTTTTGTTTATGAGCTGTTTTGTAGCTAAGCGAGACAAAGAAACGGGATATAAATGATGTTCGGTGGGAGTTACGGTTACAACAAACTGGCAACAAATGAACATTCACTATATGCTGTGAAAAACAATGTTGTGAAATCGTTGGGAGAATAAAAATGTAAAATGTATCATTATACATGTATTTAATATGTACATGTGCTCATAATTTAATAATATTATTTAATATTTACCATTAAATATCTAATACCCAACTCTATTGCCAACTCTATTGCCCCTTTCACAGGATTTCCCAACGTTTAGGGGGTTTTCCTCTGTATTACCAGCACAGACAGTTATCATCTTCAGTCATGGCTCCCTCACTGGCCACAGCCTTCTCCAGGCGATGGTGGATGGCGATTACTGCGGTGATCGAAAACCTGTTGTTCTCTGCTGTCCTGCTCGGATGGGGCTCACTGCTCATTATGCTAAAATCAGAGGGCTTTTACTCCTACCTCTGCAGAGAACCAGGTAAGGAAGGGGAGAAAAGAGTGCACTCAGTGCAGGTTACAGAAACAAAATTTATTGACACTCATAAAGACATTAAATGCACTATAGATGCCAGATTGAATGCTGCAAATAATTACGTGAACATGGAAAATGGTACCTATATACAGTGTTAATGGCTTTAATAGCTTTGTTTTCACACTTTCCCCACTCAGATTTGAACAATAAATGTTTGGCTGTTTGACCTAAAACATCTTTGGGATGCACTTGCATTAAACACTCTAACAAAGATGTTCATTTGACCTACAGCATTTTTCTTATTTCGCAACAGAGGCTGCTCTTTAAAACTGCAAGAGTTTATAGATTTTATAATCACTTCATTGTGTGAGTGAATGTACAGCATTGTGAAAAACAAAATCTCAGTTGTCTGGCGCCCATCGCAAGGCTTGTGGAGGAATCCAAACCTGAATATCAATCGATCACTAAGAGTCAGTGCACCTTATTTGGAAGCCTTCAAGCTTGTGTTGCCATTAGGAATTACAAATAGCATCTACAAGCTTGTTTGGCATCAGAACGTTGGCAAAGGGGGGCTAGATAATTTGAGCTCCGTCACAGAGTTGATTTCACGGTAAACAGTCTAGAGGACTTCAATCTGCTTAGCTTATTATATAATACCGTAAAGAATCTTTCAAGTGCAGCTGTATCTTCTTAAGGTCTTAATATGAAAGAAATATTTGAATCAAACAATACATCTTAAGAAAACTTCAGAGGGACAGTAATATGCTAGACTAATTGGTTAGAGATGAGTATTTGTGTATTCTGAACATGTTACCAAACACACTCGATGATACATGAATTAAGGGTTTTCTGAATAGCTGAAGACCACTTAATAAAGATGGAGGCCAACCGGTGCATAAACTTATAATTATTCATATATTGTTCTTTAAAAGCACAGGCAGTGCACTTACACAGTATTTTTGTCCTGTTTTCCAGTGTAAAACAACTTTCTTAAATCAAGATTTATTTACTTGAGGTGCAAAATGACTCGAGGTATTGTCTTGTTTTAAAAGAAAATTAATTTAGTTTTTCTTGTTTTAAGTATAAAGTCAATTATTTCAAAATTATTAAAAGCAAGACAAAAATACTGAGTACAAAAATTATTTCTGCTGCTTAATTAATCCAGATGAATGTGGACTCTTGCCCGGAAACATACTGTTTAGGTCTGCTTAAAACTCTTACAACACAATAATGTGTGTCTGGGTCATGACGTGTCTGGTACATCTACGAACAGTGTGTTCCTACTGATGTCCAAGATTAACTTTATTTATTTATACAACCTGTATCCATTTATTTACATCATGTACTGATGCCCTTAAAATCATATTGCACCATTGCTAGTGGAGTTCATGTAAATGTCATTGTCATAGGGCAAAATCGCTCAGAGGTAAGAAAAAACATGGAAGCCATGTGTCCCATAACCTTTTGGGTATGCAAAATAAATATATCCAACATATATATGAGAGGGAAAAAGTGTGCAGTAATGAATAAAAGCTATGCTATTTGATTTTTGTTGACCTCCTGTCTGTTCTTAATGTGTACTGCCAGGTGGTTGCTGGCAATTTGACATGGATGCTGATGGTTTCATAATATCAGCTTGTTGGCACCAGTCTGAGGTTTCCTTTGGAGCGTCATGTCTTGTTCTTCAAAGACTTCTTTCTGTGCTGCTTTGATTGAGACTTTTTCAGGGAACAAGGTCAGGAGACTCAACCATGCTGCTCTGAACTGGCCCTGATTTATTTTTCCACTATGAAATCTGCCTCTTAAACGATTTATCAAGACTTGGTGAAAACACATTTCCGCAATTTGGAAGAAACAGCCTGGCTACTCTGATATCTTATGACCCATTAGCACAATGGCTAAACACCATCGCCATGATATAAAGTGCACGTCTGGCCAGCGTTCTTCACTTATCTGGTGTTTGAGAGTTTGCAGTTCACACTACGATGTGAAGTGTGAGGCTCAAATACAAGAACCTGGCTTTTCTCCTCCTCAGATCTCCTTGCTGTTAGCTACCATTTAGTAATAGCTAGCTCAACACCATTTTGTCACTTTTATTGATGGGATATTGAGGGTGGAGGACACAGATATCAGTGCATACTGCAATCCTGTACATTCACACGTCCCTTCTCTCTTTCATTTCAACTGTTGTCAGCATCTAGTTCAGAGATTCCAGACACCAGGCGTCACATGTCTGATGACACAAGGAAGTAAATGTGGCTCAAGCGTTTGCTCAATGTAAATATGAGATTATCTTGCCATTTCCTCACCTACTTATTTTCCTTGGACTCAGCTTTCCACCGCATGTTATCAGCTGGTTGGTTCTCTTTAATCAGCAGGCGTGGGGAAACACTGACCAGGAAAATGCTTGTCTGGCTAAATGCTTTGGCCTAGCACATCTGACCGAGTCTGAGTTCATGACGTTTTTTGTGCTTCAGATTCGTGTTGAATTCTCTTTCTGTTCTTCTCTCACTTCTCCATATCAAAGCAAGTGGAACATCAGGCCTGGCTGTCTCTGTTTTTTGCTGATTAGATCTAATGGAACAATGGCTTCTGAAACATCTGAAATAGAGCTCCTCGCTCATCTGAACAGACCTAAAAAGTGAATCCAACAAAACCTGTCAAGAACATCTGCAAGTCATATTTCACCCAAAAAGCAAAGGAAGAAATATTTTGCATAAAGAAAATGGAGCCTGTTTTAGGTCTTTTTGTAAAATATTTATACAATTTTATGTATTTTTAAATTGATATTTTATTTATGAAAAAGTATACACTACAGTTCAAAAGTTTGATGTCGGTAAGATTTTTTAAAAACGTTTTTGAGAGAAGACTCTTATGCTAATCAAAAATGATTTGATTGGTAATTTTGTGAAATATTTTTACAATTTATAATTAATTAATTATTTATAATAATTTCCAGAAATCACTTCAGACATCATTCTAAAATGCTGATTTGGTACTCAAACAAACAATAAATATTGAATTTAAAATCAGTTGTTTTTTAATATCTTTGTTGAAACTGTGATTTTTTTTTCAGGATTCTTTGGTGAATAGAAAGCTCAAAAGAACAGCATTGAAATATAATTTTTTTGTAATATTATAAATGTCTTTACTGTCACATTTGATTAATTTAATGTGCCCTAAATGTATAATTTAGGGCACATTAATGTGCTAAATAGAAGTATCAAAAAATATAAAAAAAATCTTGACCCCAAACTTTTGAAAGGTAGCGTAACATAATATAAATAGAATTTTATTTATTTATCCCATTCATTGTTATAAAAAATAATAATAATGTAACAAGCCAAAAAATCTCGGTCTCAAAATAGTCATTTATTCATTACATTCTGTAAAATTTAATTTCCTTTTGAATTTGAGATTAAATGTGGCTCAAATTGTAAACTTAATGGAGAACAACCTTTTTTATTCAGTAATTTCGTGAAAAAGAGTAAAAACACGCTACTTTTGTGTCAGTCTGTAACTGCTAACTGCAGCAGCTATTGAAACGGGTGTGTATTGACTTAAGGCAGCTCCTCCTTTATTACTCAGCAAAACATCTAAAGCTGAGCAGATGTGTCCTCTAAAAACCAATCAGTGAGCTTTAACCCAATTCTTCTTATCTTCAGTCACCTGCTCAGGTCATCTCTGCTCCACAAACACAGCTCATTTGTTTGTTTACTGATCACATTTGAACAAAAATCCCTCACACAAAGGCTCTCTGTCTCTTGCCCACCCTGTTACGTTAATAACTGCTTCCTCCATATGCTGCAAACAGCCCCATCCCCCATCTGTCCTTCTCAGAACAAGTTATTCCAGAACATATTCGAGGCTGTTTGCGTTTAGATAACACATGGATAAACCGTGTTCTTGAATCTTCAAGAACCAAGTAGGAGACTTGTTGCCCAGCCAAAGTATGATAATCCCTAGTCAAAACAACCAGGGAAGCCTGGGTGAAACGACAGGGTTAAATGTTAGTCAAGGTGCTCATGCCTTAGCGGTTGTGGGAAGGTGTTGGTTTTAGGAGACTGAGCTCCAATGGGGGTTCAGATATACTCTCATGCTATTTCTGCTAGTTGTTTATTGTGTATAGCAGCTTGTTTATTTGACCCTTTGCCCAGCATCCTGGCGGCTTTGGGAGGGGTGCGCGATGGTGGCCGCTATATCTCACAAAGGCGTTTCCTGTTTTACTTCCCAGAGTGTCATAAATGGTTTCCTAGAAGTCAGGGTTCCAATTAGTCCATGGAGTTTACATGTGAGTGTGTGACTGCTGACTACCCTACCAGCATGAATTTACACACTGGTCCATGTTGGTTAGTGCTAGTTTGGTGATTAGATTGCTCCGTTTGGGTTCATTCTGTCTTGCCCTCTCCAATTCTCCAGGTAACGGTACAGGGCAGAACGTATCTGAGAATGAAAATGATACGACAGTAGTCCCAAGAGCTGAGGAGGAGGATAATCTTCAGATGAATGGCTGGCCCATCTGCAAAGATCAAGACGAGATGCTGAACCTGGCCTTCACCATTGGCTCCTTCCTCCTCAGTGCCATCACTCTGCCCCTCGGCATCATCATGGACAAATACGGCCCGCGCAAATTAAGGCTGCTTGGCAGGTATAGGAGAAAAATGCATTACATTTATATGGTGAAAAATATTCAATGTATATATATAAATATATCATATATACATTTACATATATAATCATATATAATCTTTTCCTAGTGCCTCGTTTGCCCTCTCCTGCATCCTGATTGCATATGGAGCAAGTGACCCTAGAAGTATGTATGCAAATCCACCTAAGACCACCATTCTGTTATTACCTGTCTGTCTCTGCTCTCTTTGACCTCCTTTGTCTGTTTCTTTCACAGATCTTTCCATCCTGATCTTCTTTGCCCTGGCGCTGAATGGATTTGGAGGAATGTGCATGACCTTCACCTCGCTCACAGTAAGTGCTCATGTCATATTTGTGGGTCTTCATGGGTGTCCTCTGCAGTCTTTTGCACAAAGGCCATGGCGCAGTCTCGCAAACTGGCCACATGCCACTGTTTCCTGCTCCCAATCATTGCTGCATCATCATTTATTCATCCTTAAAGAGACTCTTTTTATAGCTGGATTTCCAGCATCCTAGAAATGGCCTGATATTGACTGTGATTTGAAATTGTTTTTGATCAACACCATAGAAACCACTTAGCAATGGCATAACATCCATGTAGAATAGCCAAACAACCACATGGCAATGCCATAGCAATGACCTAGCAATCACCCAAAGCACATTAGCCTTCTGAATGAATCAGTGTTTTGAGCAAATTAGTGGAGTAAATGATTCAATGACTCACTCTTAAAGACAGTGGCTGAATTCAAAATAGCATATTATTCTATTTCTGCCATATAAAAATATGGGAGAAATAGTAAGAATAGTATGTAGTGTGACATTTCAAATTCAGACATTCACTTCGTGAATGAATCAATGACTCACTCATAAAGAAAGGTACTTGCTGCCACCTGCTGTTATAACCATGTAACCTCTAGAAAATGTCCATCGCTACATGGATCAGTCTGTTTGGAATCTATAGAGCATTCCAAATCAGTCACTTATGAAGTTCTGTTTAGTATGCTGCCTTAGAATAAAGCTGAAGTAGACAGCAAGGTCATTCAGAGCTGTTGTGTCTCTTTATCTAGTCATATGTTTAGTGTAACATCTGCGGTGCATTGGGTTCATATTGCGAAACATCACCAGGAGATGTAAAGAGAGCAGACTGAGTTGAAGTAAACAGGAAGTTGTGCTCATTGCCAGCTGAAAGGTGGTTGTCTCTTGTTTCTGCACGCTGATCTGAAGTCATAGAAACCCTCACCAGGGTATCGAGAGTTCATAGCTGAAGGCACAGCCGTTGCCAGTGTTGTTGATGTTCTGTCCCGGGTTCTTTCTCAACATTTGCACCATGCCTCTGCCTGTCCAGGCAACCCTCCATCTGTTACATACACACAGAGAAAAACACACACTCAGAGTGAGTGAACTAGCATGCATGAGTGCATAGTGGAACAGTACAGACTGTTATTTCAGCTGTTGTGCTCTTATAACCTTTTCCCAGCTGTTCTGTATACTGTGTGTTTTGCACTGCTGGTTGTTGTGGCGAGAGGTTAGAACCTGGGGTTCACAGTATAGTTCTGACTGTCTGACATCTGTTGTTTGGGTGTATCTCTTAATAGCTTCATTATTGTTACCATTTTTAGGTTTATTAAGGATCCTTGCTAAGGCTGTTGCTCATACGTTGGGTTATGCATTTAAACACACATCTAAACTTCAGCACGTAACTCCTCCTGCACCATTTTTGTTACAGACATGAATGATACCTCAGCTTTTTATGTGTTATCTTTCTCAGCAATTTTTCCTAGCAATGACTTGGCAACCGACTAGATCAGTGCTTTGGCAACTACCCACAACCCTTGTACAATATACTGGTATTGACGATAATCGTGATATAATAATAAATAATGAAAAAATATCATAAATAATGAAATATCATTATCTATTAATTAGTGATGTCGCAATATACCGATATTGGCGATATTTGAAAATTAATAGTATACATACGATAATATGACACATAATAAGCCAGCGACAGCACCATTATGGAGCATTAAACTCTCACTTGTGATTTGTTTCATTCATACTCGACACCGGAGGGCACCCTCGTGCAGAAAGTCTACAAGTGAGACTCATAGGAGTAATAAAACGAATAACTTTCCAGCTGTCCCCGCTGTAGCTGAATAAAATGCAGAAAGAAATGTTTTGTATTATGAAACATGATGAGAATAAACACACGATTACAACATTATATGTTTTATCTGTGTTCTTAAAGCCATCTCAGGTATTTTCATATGGATAATGTATATTTATATTGCAATGCTAATCGACACACCCTTTATCACTGTATAGAATACTATAAAATAAGAATCAGTTCATAGAAGTTATTTCAAACACTTGATCGACGCTATAACGCAAGTTTGGAGTAAAAATATGTACTTATTCTCATAAATTGTCTTACTTTTACACTGTGCTAAGCTGAAAACGTTAGCATTTTTGTCTCTTCTGTTTAGTGTAATTGTTCCTTTTGTATGCAATGGTGTGATTCATTGGTCAAAAAAAGATTAATTTAACTGATAACTTGATTTATTTATTATTATTTTATTTTTTCAAGATTTCTATAGATATCACGATATATCGTTATCGTGAATTGTTTAGGCCACGATAATTGTAGCACCGTAGCAACATAATATTTGTCCGGCAATCAGCCGAAACGTTCTAGAATCATGGCGGTGAGTTTTTCGCAGACAAGTACTGCTCACACTTAATCTAGTTTATTGAACTGCAGAAGAGAACGTTTTCTGAACGTTGTATTCTAAGCCATCTCCACATTCTTAAGACAAACCCTAAGAGGTTCGGTGAAGCTGTCAATTTACCCTTCTTCCTTTTTTCCTCACTTTTATGTCTCTCTATCTGTCTCTCTGTGTTTGCTCACTCAGCAGTTAATAACCCAGCTGCAGCAGAGCTTGTGTTTCCTCCCAGCACACCTCTGATGTTTTCCCAGTGCACTGACTCAGCTTTCTGTTTAATGGCGGGGACTGTCCCCAACCCCCTCCGCCGGCAGCAGTGTCCCAGCCACCTGATTCACTGTCTGCCCTCAATCCTTCATCTGTCCATTCCTCCAGCTCTCGATTTAGCTCTCTGACAAGCAATCATATCAAGTCTTTCCCAACACAACCTCAGATGTTGGTTGTTTTGCTCTTAAAACCATTGAAATCCGTTGACCAATGGGTTAAAATAAATATAGGTATATTATCTGAAACATCTTATTGTCTTACACAATTTAATGTTTTAAGTAAATTTCTCTAATTTTAAAAATGTTACCATATTTTTACAGTGAAAAACAAGGCAGTGTTAAAGAACGTTTATTTTTTACAACCCAGAACACTCTAGCAACCAGTAAATTCTTCTGAGTATTTAATCCATGTTCAGTTTCATAGCTCTTTACTCTTATTGTACAGTATGCCATACTCATATTATATCTTCTTAGGAAACAAATATAAAATAGCAAGCTATAAAATTTCATTGGGGATATCCTGTTCCTCTGTATCTTAGCTCAGTCTCGCACTCTCTGATGCACTAATGCTGTTTTTTCTTCATTTCTGCCTTCAATCCATTTATAACCCATTTCTTTTCGGATGCTGAGTCATGTGAAGATGAGAATAGAAAAATGGCTTAGGATTGCGTTTAGACTCCAGAAAACATTCGATTAAAAAACACTCGTGCCACTGTTATCAGAGACACGCTCTTCATGTTGTTCACACTGGTGTTTTGCCATATGCCCTTTGGGCTCTGGCTTAAAATGAGGTGTGAATGTTTTTTATTTTATAATTAGTCATCTAAATGCACCAGGGCCAACCAGTTTTAGTAGTATTATTATACAGTATATAATAAATTGATATGATTATATAGATAATATTATCTATGTTGAAAGTGTTGATAATTTTTATCAACATTTTATTATTAAAATAAATATGTATATTAATAAAACTTATTATTATCAATGTTGAATAGAAAGCTCAAAAGAACAGTATTTGTTTGAAATATTTTTTTGTTTTTGTAACATCATAAATGTCTTGAAGGTCTTTAATGTCACATCAAGGACACTAATATGTCCTTGCTGAATAAAACATTGTTATTGATATAAAATACAAACCATTGCTAAATAATATTGCCATTTGTAGCAATTTTATTATCTATGTTGAAAATGTTGATAATTTTTTTATCAACATTTTATTATTAAAATTAATTTGTATATTATTAACTTATTTTTGTCAATGTTGAATAGAAAGTTCAAAAGAAATAGTTTTTTTTTGTAACATTATAAATGTCTTTAAAAGTATTTGAATGTTAGTGAATTTAATGTACATGCCTCATTGGTGGCATCAGATAAGAAATTATGTACTATTTATTTAAAAGTGAAGTGAAGTGAAGTGACATGTGGCCAAGTATGGTGACCCATACTCGGAATTAGTGCTCTGCATTTATCCCATCCAAAGTGCACACACACAGCAGTGAACACACACACACCATGAACACACACCCGGAGCAGTGGGCAGCCATTTATGCTGCGGCGCCCGGGGAGCAGTTGGGGGTTCGGTGCCTTGCTCAAGGGCACATCAGTCGTGGTATTGAAGGTGGAAGAGAGCGCTGTACATTCACTCCCCCCACCTACAATCCCTGCCGGTACGAGACTCAAACCCGCAACCTTTGGGTTGCGAGTCTGACTCTCTAACCATTAAGCCACGACTTCCCCTATTCAAAATGTAGGGATTGATGCTATTTTTTGTGTGTTATGACAGATACCCTTTATTGTTGTTTTACACTACAATGACATCTGTGTTTTCTCTGTTCCGGTGGCCGTGACTTTGGGACTGTTTGTCTCTGGTAGATTCTTCTGGTCTTATTGACTCCACAAAGTATCGCTTTACTTGGAGACTACCAGTGTTTGTCAAAAACTTTTAATGTTTTGTTTCCATGCCTAGTCAATTTCATTGCAGAGCAAGCAAGTGAAGACAGAGCGACACTAGCGTTATAATACAAGATAAGTGTAGTGTCAGTAGGGTCTTTTTTTCATCACGTGACCGCCTGCAGCTGGTGAATGTCTGTGAAAGCAGAAGAACATAGTGTTGTTAAAACAGTCTCTTGGTACTTCACATGTTACTCAACTCCAAGAAATAGCCATTACTCTCCGTCTGACAGGCCCATCATGTGGAGCTCTGTTCGTCGTTGGCTCTGTTCCACAGTCCATTAGCCAAAACCGTTCCTGCACAGCCTCTCCAGCCACAGGCACAATGCCACCTAGAGCCGCTGGGTGTGTGAGAGTTATTGTAAGTGTCATCTGGGATGTTTTGGCTCTGAGATGACCTTTACTCTAATTAGAGGCAGTGAATGGCGTCTGGGTTGGGTTCCAACAGAGAGATTTCCTTCATTCTTGTCTTTAACAAGCTTTTGGACTGTGAAGCAAGCGTGAAGTGGAAGATGTCCAGAGAGTTCTTAGAAAATCTTGAACTGTGTGTTGTGGAGGAGATGCCATATACAGTAAGACGCTGTCAGCTGTCGACGGGTGGGAAGTAGATGGAGGATTACCTAGAAAATAAGGAACATGTACTATAACAATATGACACCCTGCAAGTCTAATAAAACAATAGTACAATAAAAAAAATAATGGTGTGACATACTATACTCCAAATACAAAACTATTTACAAAGAGAATTTAGCAAATTATTTTACATTTATTATACATTCAGGTTGACCACAATAAGAGACTATGTGGAACATTTGTACTTAATTAAAATGTAATTGTGCTTAATTGTATTTATTAAAATGTAAAAACTTTTACATGCATTACTAAATTACTAAAGTGTAAAAAGCAAAAAAAAGATTTTAATTATAAAAAGACACTTATAAAATTATATGAATTACATTATTTATTAATTGTATACTTTTTTATTCACTCCTATTTTGTTTTTTATTATCTGTGACTTGGTTTGTTTATTTTTTATCTATTTTACATTTTTGTGTGTGAGCTCCTGTCACCAAGATCAATTTAAATTTGAATAAATGAAGAAAAAAATGTAATGCACATTTTAAATAATTCAATTAAAAATAAATAATCATAATAAAATAATTTAAATAATAAAATAATTTAATAATAATTAAATTAAATGACACAAATATTCAAGAGTGCTGTAGACTAATGATCTTTAAGAATATTCTCCTGAGGAATACCAATGAAGAATATACTCTTGCTCTCTCTGCCCCACTTAATTCTTAAATCTTAGGCGTTCAGGCTCTCTTCCTTCCTCTATATTTTCTTGGTGGGGTCTGACAGTTGTTTACCCTGACAGTGCAGTTTGGAACAGCGAGTGCTGTACTCCTCCGCCCAGCTCAAAGGCAGCAGCGTTATGCAAGCTTCTCCAGTGTCCCTCACACTTTCTCTCGCTGCTAAAAATATTCCCGGCTTGCAGTTGACTTTCAAACTATGTCCCCCCCACCCTACATGCTGCTCCCACCAGAGAATATCACCGTTACCCTGATGTAATGTTTACTTTCATACCTTCTGCTATATCTGACACGTTTTGTCATTTACAGCGGCTCCTGTTACAAGAAATCTTATGTTCCCAATATAGATAAATATATTTGCTTTTTATACTCATGATGGACACTAGGCCCAAGTACAGTCACTAAAAATGTTAACATATTTTTAATGCACTTGAAGATTTTTAATCCCATTTGTCTCTTCTGTAGCTTCCCAACATGTTTGGTGATCTCCGCTCCACTTTCATCGCACTCATGATTGGCTCGTACGCCTCATCCGCTGTCACCTTCCCAGGAATAAAGGTAAATCTGAGTCCCAGGTTAGACTTATTTAATAAGCTGAGTTTAAATCAGTGATATTGATAATGATTGTTGCTCTATCAGGTGATCTACGACCTCGGTATTGCCTTAATCACCATTCTTCTGGTGTGGGCTGGCTGTGCCGGCCTGGTCTTCATCAACTGCTTCTTCAACTGGCCACTCGAGCCCTTCCCAGGACCTGAGGACATGGATTTCACGTATGTAGTTCAGCGTCTGCATTGCTGTTGTTTTTTTAAGGAATTAGTACTTTTATTGAGCTAGGATGCATTAAATTGATCAAGAGTGACAGTAAAGACATTTACAAAAGATTTCTATTTTAAATAAATGCTGTTCTTTTGAACTTTCCATTCATCAAAGAATTCTGAAAAAATGCCACACAACTTTTTTCAACATTGATAATAATAAGAAATGTTTCTTGAGCAGCAAATCAGTACATTAGAATGATTTCTGAAGGATCATGTGACACTGAAGACTGGAGTAATGATGCTTGACTTCACAGGAATAAATTACAATTTAAAATGGATTACAATATAAAAGAGTTATTTTAAATTATAAAAATATTTCACAATATTACTGTTTTACTGTATTTTTAAGTAAATAAATTTTACATATCATGTATCTCACGCTAAAATTTGTCTCTTTAACAGTGTGAAGATCAAGTTCAGCTGGCTGGGCTTTGACCATAAGATCACAGGGAAACAGTTCTACAGGCAGGTGACCACCGTTGGTCGGAGGTTGAGTGTTGGCAACTCAATGAAGAACAATCCACAACAGCTGGCTGCTCAAGACGGAAATAAACTCTGCCTATCAACCCTCGATCTGGAGGTCCAGTGCAAGTCTGAGGAGGAATGTGAGTATCATTCTTACTGACATGTTTTTATTGACCAGTATAATTTCTGACGATCTAAACAGTCTGAAACCACATTAAATCTGGGATTTTTTTTAAATGTTGAAATAAAAGTTTTAGGATATTGATTTTTAAAGGGTTAGTTCACCCAAAAATGAAAATTCTGTCATTCATTACTCACCCTCATGTCATTCCAAACCCGTAAGACCTTCGTTCATCTTCAGAAACCTAATTAAGATATTTTTGATGAAATCTGAGAGCTCTCTGATCCTCCATAGACAGCAAGGATATTACCACGATCAAGGCACAGAAACGTAGCAAGGACATCGGTAAAACAGTCCATGTGACATCAGGGGTTCAACCGTAATTTTATGAAGCTACGGGATTACTTTTTGTGAGCAAAGAAAACAATAATAACATCATTTATTCAGCAATTCTTCTCCCTGAGTTACAGTCTTCCGCCATTTTGTAGAGTATCCCAGAATGTAATAAGCGTTGTTTACATTCAGCATGCGCGTGCTTTCTACTGAACGTAAACAACGCTGAATACGCTAATTACGTTCTGGGGTACTCTCCAAAATGGCGGAAGACGGTAATTCAGCGAGAAGAATTGTTGAATAAATTATGTTATTATTGTTTTCTTTGCACACAAAAAGTATTCTTGTAGCTTCGGAAAATTACCGGTTTAAACCCCTGATGTCACATGGACTATTTTACCGATGTACTTGCTACGTTTCTGTGCGTTGATCATGATATCCTTGCTGTCTATGGAGGATCAGAGAGCTCTCAGATTTAATCTAAAATATCTTAATTTGTGTTCCGAAGATGAACAAAGGTCTTGCAGGTTTGGAACGATATTTATATCGTTATATCGAGTAATTAATGACAGAAGTTTCATTTCATTTTTGGGTGAACGAACCCTTTAAGTTTTAGGAAATTTTGAACAAAGAAAAGTTATAAAAATAAGTAAGAGATATTAGAAATTCAATCAAATTGGTCAGGTCAGATGCTCTTGCACCAAACACAATTCATGTTCATTTTTCAGTTTAATTAATTTCAAATCATTCATATTGATTTGCTGATAAAATGTTTTTTAAAGATAAATAATAAAAATAAATAATTAAAAAAATATTTTTAATAAAATAAAACAGTATGTGTCATTCAGGTTTTATTTTAATGAGCTGGTGACATGAGTGCCAACTGCCAAGTAATTAAAAGTTATCTGTAATGCAACTTGATTGTTAATTATGAAGGCAGAATAGTGGTAATCAGATTACCAAATCTCATTTATTTCCATTGTTTTAATGTCTTGAACAAAGTCCTTGTTCATCAAATTGAAGTGATTTATGTAATCCTGAATTCATGCGTATTTCAGAAAGAACTGGACAGAACACAGAGAGACTTGGCTCTCGCCATTGTACAGCATCTTCCCCCTGGCTGCGTCCAGACATGCAGGGAATATTCGAGCAGACAGGGGGCGGTGTTAATGAATGCTCCTCAGTAAATCCCCTTTATTGTGCATGGGGATTCCTTCATTAGCCATGCACACGGTTTCTGACATCTGGAGGTTGCCAAACCACTCGAGGCTGCAGACACACGCTGCGTTTGCACTTTGCTTCTACTAACCCAAATCTGTGACGTGCAATTATTCCAAATTCACCTCAAACTTGTCAGAATACTGCAAACTCACTCACTCCCCACCGGCACCTTTTTTTTGGGTTCTGCAGCCCTCTGCGGGGCTCCCGGTTGGGCTCTTTTGTAGTAAACGGAGCATGCAATCGATTCAGACTGCGTTTCTGGAGGACCCATGGCACTGGTGTATGTCTGGGGCTAAAATTGGCAGAGGTGGAGACGGTGGCGAGGGAGAGGGCAGATAGCGCCGAGGAGCTGTTTTAGAGACGCTGCTGAAGATGTTTGAGAAAGAGAGACTGATGCTGATCCCGGCTTACTGTCATCCTTAGAGTGCTAATGCCTTCACCACCCTGTGTTTCCATTACTGCAGTCTATTACTGACTCATTGTCGACGGCTGGAAAGTGTGTGTGTGTGTGTGTGTGTGTGTACTTAGGGACATAATGAGGCAGTTTGTTTGTGTGTGTGCATGTGTTCCAGAGCATATCAGGTGTGTTGAGGTCAGATTCCCAATGTACCAGGTAACAGGCACTGTAAAGGCCTCTCTAGTGCTGGTCAGTGGATGCATTTATGGCACTTGAATTAGTGGATTATTAACAAACCCAGACCCCCCAGCCTCTGTGTTACTGTGCTAGGCATTGAAGTGTTGCCTGGCCATCCAAACACCCGCAGAATAATTTTCCATGTGAACAGAACCCTGTGGGCCCTGCATGCTTTTGCCATTTTTTTAAAGGCATTGAAGCACCCTGGTTGAATTGACATGACCGAGTTCACAGTGGTTTTCCATGGAAAGATGCTTTTGGAAATGGCATGGCAGTACGAATAGTTGCATAATTGAAGGCGTTGGGTGTCCAATCACAGTGTACAATTTTGAACAGTAACTAGAATTTTCTATAATAAAAATGATTGTTATTGATGATAGTTTTATTGAATGTGTTTTTCAGCCCAGTCCTTCATGCGGAGCATCTTTAGCCCCATATTCATGCTCAGCCTCAATCATTTTTTTTTTTGTTAAAATGTTTGTAATGTTATGATTCATTTTGTAGCTGTATAGTTTGGTTCAAGGCTTAGACCTCTTTACTGAAGCTTTATTTGAAATGCCTATGGAGAAAATGACTGGGACATGGGAAAAAAGGCTGCTAAAAGGCACTATTGCACTCTAGTCTTTTCCTCTTACAGCTTCCTTCTTAAATGTTCTCTAATATCACACGCTGTGATTGGCTACGTAACACTATTAATCATGTGTTTAATATGTAGTCGGATGGCCACAGCAGGTTCACGTTGCTAATTCCTTGCTGTCTGTCTCTTGTCCTCTGTTTGCACTCTCTTCTGTCATGCTGCTTGGTGTGTTTTTTCAGTGGAGAGGATGGAAATGGGTAAGACTGCAGGCAAAATTAGATGCATTCTTGATTCACTCGTCTCAACCTACCCCCCACCGAGTTCCTCCCTCCTTCACCTCCTTTTCCACCTTCATTTGACATTGATTCATGTTGTCATGTAAAAGCATGAACTCTGCCCTTGGTGGTTAGAGACTGACGGGATGCAGTGCACAGTATAATGTCCATCCAATCACTCATCTGTCCACCTAATCTTCATAGGAGCAAGTCATGGGTCATTCTATGAATATTTATATATATTAATGTATATTTTATGAAACAAATCAAATGTTTTAGTGTTAATTAATTGTATTGTTCCATCTCAAGTTATAAAGATTTTTATTTTAATATATTATAGTATATTTTTATGTATACATTAATCCATCCAATTAATCCATCAGTCTAATTTGACATTAGGTGCCTTTTTAATTATTTACTTTTACTATTTTGTCCACGTTTTTACTTCTTAGTGATTTACCATCTTACTGACTTTTGAATGGTAGCATATCTGTATTAAAATATCTGTATTACAGTAGCACATCATAAACGTTGGTGTCATTGTTTGCCGAAATGAACCTCTTTTGATGTAATGACCCTTAAAACAACTTTATTTCTCTCTCAGTGAGCACGTACACATCTATCTTCGGGGTGCTACAGTTGCTGTGTCTCATGACGGCCCCTGTGATTGGTTACGTCATGGACTGGAGGCTCAAAGAGTGCGAGGACGAAAATGAGAAACAAGTCACAAAGTGAGTGTAACAATGAGCGTCCTGCTGCCTAATGCATAATTTTGACACTTACCACCAACCAGTCCAATCCGTAATTGTTATTTGATTACAAGTTTAATGTGCCATTGCATCTGTGTAATGCGCTTATGGCTTTTCCTTCAGGGATCCTACTCAGCCAAAGAAACGTGACAGACAGATCCAGAAGATCAGCAATGCCACCCGCGCATTCATCTTCACTAATTTGCTGCTGGTTGGCTTTGGCGTGACCTGCCTGGTGCCCAATCTTCATCTACAGGTAACTGAGAGCAAAACATCAGTCTCCTTGTCTGCAGGATGATGATAAAGTACCCAATGGGAGAGAAAGTGGTGCAGAGCCACTCACATGTTACTGCAGCTGATGGATTGGGATGCAGTAGCACAACAGCGCCCCTCAGTGGCAGCACTAACTCTGGCTTTATTTTAAAGCTAGCTACTAGTCATTATTTATGCATAACAAAAATAGTTATTTTTGCTGTGGGGAAGAACTGAGGAACCTTGGTTTCTATGTTTTCTCCTAGATTTTGTCCTTTGTGTTGCACACCATTGTGAGAGGCTTCATCCACTCTGCCGTTGGGGGCTTGTATGCAGCTGTGTAAGTATGGCTTTGTATTTTGGGTGTGGATTGGAGTTGCTTTTAATCATGATTAAAGAACAATGTTTTTTTTTTTTTATGAGTGCAGTTACCCGTCTTCTCAGTTTGGAAGTCTGACGGGAATGCAGTCCCTCATTAGCGCACTTTTTGCATTGTTGCAACAGCCTCTCTTCATGGCCATGATGGGTCCACTGGATGGAGATCCACTCTGGGTGAGCAGAAAGTCTGTTACTTATATTTAAAGCGATAATTCATTCACAAATGAAAATTCTGTCCTCATTTATTTACCTTCATTTTCTTTCATTCATGTAATAAAGGCAGAGTAAAGGCCTGTTCACACCAAGAATGATAACTATAAAAATAACGATAACGATATAGTTCTGAAAATCGTTCTCAATATTAAAGAATAGCAGAGTCCACACCACAGCTATAACTGAAAAAAAATGGACGATATAGTTATCTTTATAGTTATTACTCTTAGTGTGAACGAGCCTTAACACTGGCAAAAATTTATTTTTTTCTCACAATTCTGAGTTTTTATATAGCAAATTTGATTTTTTTTTTCTGAATTCTGAGTTCACATATTGCAATTCTGTTGCCGCCACGGAATAAAACATAAAAAAAGGTAATTGCAAATTTAAACTCAATTGTCGCAATTGCAAGTTTACACCTCTCAATTTGGACTTTTCTTCTCAGAATTACGAGTTTATATCTCATCTGGCAATTCAGACTTTTTTTCTCAGAATTCTGAATTTAAATCTTGCTATTCTGAGTTCACATCGCCCAAAGTCGACATAAAATGGAAAATGTACCTATTGTTTAACTGCATTTTACTGATCTCATTGTGATCAGTTCACCCGTGTATATGTAAAGAAAAAAATCGAGCCCATAATTTTAAATCAAAACATCTTGACTCAATCTTCCAGTGAATTGTCAGACTTCTCTCTGGTGACGTATACCGGACTTCTCCAATCATTTTGTCCGCTTAAACTCCGCCCCTTCCTTACAATCAATTACAAGCTCGCATCCAGATCTGCCTCCATCTGCCTGTCTCCTTTTTCTTTTTTGATCATCTATTTTACTTCAAATTTGTGCTTGCTCATATCTAAGCTCTAATGTCTTTCTGCTTAGGTTAACGTGGGGTTACTGGTCCTGAGCATGCTGGGATTCTGCCTGCCCAGTTATCTTCTGTGCTACGGCAGGCGGCTGCGCCGAGAGAAGCAGGAGCGCGAGGAAGACCCCAAGATCTATGTCCAGATCAACAACGGCACAACCCCCGAGGCCTTTATCTAACTGCAATGCACAAATGACAGCAGCTAGCATAAAGAGCAGGAAGAAGGAGGGTGGGAAATAAAAGAAGAGAACTGAAAGTCACAAGAAGAGTGATAAACACCTCCCTGATCCCTCCTTCTGTCTGTCACACACATTCATGTATTCCCAACAGGCACATAACACTCAAACAGGCACAAAATACAGCCAAAGCAACCGAGAGTCTCACAACGTGCCACGCAAACACACATTTACACACAAAGGACTGAATGGACACTGTGAAAGGCAGGTCTAGAAAAAAATGATGCCCTTGTCCTTGAAACAGACAAGGACTTCTAGACTTTATATCCTGCCTGACAAGAAAGAAGAGAAAGGCCCTCTTTTCTCACGATTTTACCTTTTGAATTTCAGACCACGACGATACAAAAGACGAAGCAGATTCAGTGAAATTCTCTCAGGTCTGAAGAAGCCTGATGACGAGAGTATTACTACGTCACTAGTGTTCAGCTTTGTTGCCAAGCTTGTTTCAAACAGTTTCTGCAACTAAAAACCCACTTGTGAACTGATTTGAAATCACTATGAACACTTTACATTGCTCTCAGCTCATAAAGCTGCTGAAAAGCGAGACGAGGACCCTCCATTGCGGTTTGAATATGACAAACTGACTAACTACCTTAAAGCAGAACGACTCTGCTTGTTATCTGTCCCATATGGGTTTTCAATGGAAGTGGGCAGATTTTAGATTTTAATCTCATACAGTATATACAGTACCAGCATGCTTTGGACAGCACGAGCATGAAACTACAGCTTTGTCTGAACTGGGCTGATTTTAAAGGACTTTTGGACCATGGCACCTGAGACTAATGTAACCTAAACACAATTTTAGTATAAGTGACGACATGTGGCTCTGCATTTATCCCATCCAAAGTGCACACACACACAGCAGTGAACACACACACACCGTGAACATACACCCGGAGCAGTGCGCAGCCATTTTTTTGCTGCGGCGCCCGGGGAGCAGTTGGGGGTTCGGTGCCTTGCTCAAGGGCACCTCAGTCGTGGTATTGAAGGTGGGAGATACTCCCCCACCTACAATCCCTGCCGGTACGAGACTCGAACCCGCAACCTTTGGGTTACGAGTCCGACTCTCTAACCATTAGGCCACGACTTCCTATGAGACTTGTACTATTATTTGCTTTGGCATGCAGATTCAGTACATCTACGTGCAAAAGGTTTGGATTAAGGCGGTATTTTGGGGATTAGCCTCACATTTTGATCAAGACTGACGATCTTCACCAGCAATACTCGTACCGTTCCCTATACCACTTCCCCATGCAGTACTACTGGTTGAGCTTCACTTGTTAGTGTTTATTTCCTTGTATTGACTCAAACAATTATTCAGGGTGTTTGACTTTCAGAGTAATAATTCATATCAGATGTATTCACCTGCAATATGTTCCCTTCAAGCTTTGCTTTGCCACTTGAGCGTTGAGGGGTATAAAATGAGACAAAGTGTACTCTCAGTAAAGAGATTAGATGCCATTATCGTATATATATACACATATATATCTTGCACTACAGGGTTTATAATTACAGAGGTGCTTACATTAGCCATTACGGTGTATATGCGTTCTGTTCCAACCTCATACATACATTGAAACCACGTTAGCCATACACGTTACAAGATTTTTGTGCGTTCTCTTGATTTCTGGGTTGGCTACCATTTAACTACGGTGCTTACTAGAATAGAAAAGCAACAAGATTTCTATGTAGGTCAAGATACAGAAGCCGAATACAGAATTTAGTTGGCTACTCAACCTTGTGGTAATAAGGACTTGAATTGAATTCATAGCGATTAAAAAAGGGAACTTTTGAGACATGCTTGACGACAATCCCTTTGGAAAACCCATATATTTGTAGCTTATAATGGGTTTCAGGACAGTATTGTGCCCTATGAAAGATCAAATGTGGTAACTACATAAAATTTAGCGAAATTGGGTCTTTTAGACTGATATGTCACATGACAGATGGGTATTTTCAGAAAATAGTGTGAACAATTATGTAAAATCAATCAAATATCTTGCAACCATTTTTCTCGATTCCAGTGTTGTAGTTAATGTGTTTTGCGTAAATCACTGAACATTTCTCAGCAAAACATTGATTTGAAAGATGGTAGGGTTAGGGTTAAGTCACAACCTCACTTACTTTAACAGTATTTTCATTGTAAACTTATCTGAAATTATGTTTGTATGAGATCCTGGATGAGTAAATATCTTCTCAACAGTGGCCATAAATGTAACCTTATTTTATGACCCCTCTGAAGAGGAACAGGTCAGATCCACCTAGCAACATCCACTTTTTTGTGAATATTTTGTCAGAGCTGAGGCTAGACGTGAGTCCTGGATGGACTGCATTTGCTGGCTTGAACATGACTGGATATTGCAAGTGAATTCCAATCTAAAGCAGTACTGTACTAAGCATAATGAATGTGAGAGCGAACCCATTTTGCTCTCAGAATGAGAGAAGTAGCACTTTTTCTCACTGCCATACCTTAAATTTTGATTCTTTTCTCAAGTAGCAATCACATTTTATTTTCATTTTAAATGTTGATTTATTATACCCCATTGTACTTGTATGAGTGTGGAAAATGCCCATACGCAGTATAGGGAAGAAAAGTGGGAAAGATCAGCTTTAACACCAATATTTTCTCTCTGTATTGTATTTTTAGTGTAATTTGTTGATTATTTGGTTGATTTTTCTACCCTGTAGTTTTTTTTTTTATGTGTATATGTACATATTTTTTCTATTTTTTTTTTCTTTTTGTGGGCGTTTTACTGTATTTTGGCTTTTGGTTTTCTTCATTATATCACTATATAGCAACTTTTTGAATAAATGTCCCAACAAAATATCAGATATGTGAAATTAAATAAAAACAGATGAATTTGTATGAAATGTTTGTTTTTGCATTTTTTCTGGTAATGCATAAACCAACATAAAAATCTTAAAGGGGTCATATGATGCTGCTAAAAAGAACAGTATTTTGTGTATTTGGTGTAATGAAATGTGTTT